ATTTGGAATTTTTTTAAATACTAATACGAAAACTATAAATTTGCAGACAAAACTAAAATTGTAATAGCGCACGTTACTGTTACTTCCAAGGCCTCCTATTTATAAAGTCTAATATTTAAATGTAGATCAAGATGTAATAATTTAACTTGGCTGGTCTCGTTTAAGATAATAATGAGGCCAAACGTGAATCGCTATACCTACCTTACCACCTAATAAGACGTTGTTAGCGTCGATTTAATGTTGTTTTTTTTCAGTCTATCTTTTACTTTCATTTTTCTTAGTCAGGCAGACAGGCACTGATTTAGTGAAGAATTGTAGGTACTAATCCAGAGGTAAAGGAAATTATTTTGCGAAGGGATCAAGTTGAGGCAGAAGGTGTATTTTCTCGTCATTTGCAAATTTAATCAAAGTTAAGCGATAATTGAACGAGTTACACAACTTTTCGGTATAGACAACTACAACGTTTGTTTGTCTAAGAATTTCCTGATATAATCGCCTCAACTGATAGACTAAGAATGATGAATAGCCAATCAACAGCTAACTCTGTATTGATTGATTAGTGGGATTTGACCTGTCGTGTCCCTCGTGGACATAGTAGATAGCCTAATGTGTCTTTGCTTTAAAACAAAACAAACTGACCGTAATTCTTAAAGTCTTTATCACCCTTGTGTATCTATACGCGAAAACTTTACGACAAACGAACGTGTATTTGGAGATTTCTCGGAGTTAAGGAAAGCCACTTGATAGTTTTTTTTATGCTTTGAGTTATCGATTCAAATACGTTATATACCTTTTGTGTGTTATAAATGTTTCATGGCAGCAACATCTGGAACTCATGAAGAAAGAAAAACTCGTTTTGTTTGTTGAACCGTAACAGACAGCTTATTTTATGGAAGTTAGGGCTTAGGAATATCGATTTAAGCCAGTTAGATTGTATATATATATATATATATATATATGTATGTATGTGGACAGAGAGGAGAAATAAGTTGTTCTGTAGAGTTTTTACTTCTGAAATGATTTAATTCTGCTGTGACTTATTTCTGTTTCTATATGTGCCCCCCCCCCCACGTGGCACAGCGGTATGTCTGAGGACGTGCAATGCTAGAAACCGGGTTTCGATACCAGTGGTGAGAAGAGCACAGATAGTCGATTGTGTAGCTTTAACTGCAAATAAAACAAAACAAACCTTCTATATGTGATTACTTATGTTTTAATAACTTAACTGCTCCCCGGTGATTCATCAGCAAGGTTTAAGCTGTTGGACCTCTGGATCTGGACTTAAATTATTTTGTTAGGATCTGGGAGGGTATTTCGAAGACCTCTTCCTCCTTCCAGCACAATAGGTATAATCATCGCGCAAGATACAGCATCGTGTGAATCGTTGGTGTCCTCGACGATACCCACCAAGTTGGTCTTCTCAAGAGCCATTACAGCGGAACTCTCGAATTTCAGATCGGTCTTCCTGATGAGCACCTCAGTTGACTTCTGTTAACGACGGATTTCACTGAGGATTACAGTTCCAGGTCTCTAACGATGAGGTTTCTTTACACCACCAAATACCCGATTCATCCAGGATCTCTTGTAATTCAATATTCTTGCGGCGGCCACAGTATAGACAGTCCATTTTGTAACCCTTCGCTCTGTACACGTATGTCAAACGAACTGACACTGCGATATAAGGAGGATGACAGTTCCAGGCCTCTAACGATGAGGTTTCTTTACACCACCAAATACCCGATTCATCCAGGATCTCTTGTAATTCAATATTCTCGCGGCGGGCACAGTATAGACAGTCCATTTTGTAACCCTTCGCTCTGTACACGTATGTCAAACGAACTGGCACTGCGATATAAGTTTAGTTCACTTGATGTTTGTGTGTGTGTGTGTGTGTGTTTAAGCTACACTATGGGTTATTTATCTTCTATTTGACCATAGCATTACAAATCCTGACGCTTGCCGCTGGGAGCAAACTGTAACATTAGTAATTTGTATTCCAAAATTAAGTAATTTTACGTTGTCGTCTTGTTAGTTCCATGCAGAATACTCAACGTATTTAGGATCGGGCGTGGCTCAGCGGTTAGCGACAATGCCGGACTGTGTGTTTATGGTCCGCGTCCCATTGTCGAAAAAAATGAAAAGATCGTGCTCCGCAGGCTGTGGTCTTGAGCGCGTTATAAGTGTGACTGTCAAAACCCACTATTTGATCACACACATTAGAGCCAACAAGTTGGCGGTAGGTGTTGACTAGCTGCTTTCTCTGTAGTACATCAAAATTTTAAAGGACAATTCGTGTAGACAGCCCTTTCGGGGGGGGGGGCGTAACTTTTAGAGACGATAGTTTTTGTTGTTGAAAGATGCTGACCGACGTAAGTAATAAATAAATGCTCACCAACAGTGAGAAAACTATGATTGCTGAAAAGTAAATGTTAGGTTTTTTAGGTGTAAAATGTAGATTCACTCCGGATTTTTTGTGGAATTCTATCGTTATCTGATCTTTTCCCCAAACTAAAACAGTCTTAAAGTTTGTAAACTCTCGAAGATCCAGTAATTTTGGTTTGTTAAAGCATGTGGAGGAACTGAAATGCAGCAAAAGATAAAAATGAGCGTAGAAGGGCTCGTTTTACTGGATGGACACATAAACGTGCCACTATATAAAAATGGCTAATTTCCGACTGAACAGATGTTCTTCTAAAGAAGGTTCATTGTACGCTAACCGTGTTTGTAGAATGTAACTTTACATACCAAAGAAAAATAGTGCGTGTGTAATTGGCATCGTTGTGATCGTACCAAACGCACCGTGTGCACGTGTTGAAGTTTGTCGTGAATTTAGGATATATTTACTAATTTTGGAATCTATAATCTATTTTTACTGTACTTCCTACGTACGTACTTCGTCAGACAATATTATTTTAAACCGATCGAATAAGTAGCATCGACTCATTACGCATATGCAGACGATTTAGATATGTTTCGACAAACGTAAAGGGAGACCTTCCTTCTTCAGAGTATACTGTAAAACTTTCGGGTTATCTCGGGAGTCTCCCAATTTTTGGTTTGGTATTGTTTGTTAGAATCGTAGATATTTTCAGTAGAGATGCATAAAATATTCTGTGGTATCCCCTCCCCCCCTCCAGTGGCTCAGCGATAAGTCTGAAGGCTTATAACACTAAAACCAGAGTCTCGATTCCCGTGGCGGTCACAATACAGATAGCCCATTGTATAGCTTTGCGCTTGACAACAAACAGATCGTTTATGATGTGTTATATAAAGTAAAATATTTATTAGACATAAAGGAATGTTGTTTGTCAGTTAGCTTAAAAAAAAAACAAGAATGTAAAATGACAAGTTTCAACAAGCAGTGTTTAGTTTATTTACATGATCTTGTTTTATGTGAAAAAAGTGCAATATTGCAACATAATAGTGTGAATATTAAGAACTTCTGAGAAAATGTAAGCAAACTAAACGGTCAGAAGTTTAAATATGTGCATGACAATCCTATAAATTAACTAGCTGTGGTGTTCTAGGTTATATCTTACGACGCATCTGGGCTAATTTTTTTCCGTATAACCACTCTCGTCCCCGGATTCAGGCGTTGCCTATTAGTTAGCTTGCCGGACTGTGAATCTGATGGTTTGAATCCCCATTGGCTACAAAGTCACGTTTCGCATTTTAGGGCTGAGAGCGCGTTATAAGAATGACGGTCAAATTCAATTAAACTAGTTGTTTTCCTTCTAGTCTATCGGAGCGAATATCAAGAAAAAACTTCTTCGTCATTTTTTAATTTTCTGAATTTTCATTTTTCCGTCCATTTATAATTTTTATATTTATAGAACTAGTGCCTGTTGTTACATACTAATGTTAGCACCAGCTTTTATATTGGTGGAACTAGTGTCTGTTGTTACATACTAATGTTAGCACCAGCTTTTATATCGGTGGAACTAGTGTCTGTTGTTACATACTAATGTTAGCACCAGCTTTTATATTGG